CAATGACACTTTTAACGTTGTAAAAGTTCAACCTTGTCGTTGTTTCATCGTTTGCAACCATGTTAAAACATTTCTTTTTTATTTTTTTCCCTAAATTAATATATACCCTTGCTATTACTATCCATTATACATTCTTCAATATCTTGCATCTTTTTTTTTGCTGTCACCTCGCAAAATGAGACGTATAGAATTTGGCTACGACATTTGGAGTATTGTCCAAGTATCTACATATCTTTGCTAACATTTAAACAAAAAAATTTGCAACTATCGTTGCTGATGTTGATCAAATGTCAGTCTTTGTATTTTTGAATATTTCATCAACTTTTATCTCGCGCCAACTCTATAATTTATCCACTACTATAAATCATTTTGATATTAATGGAGATGAGTTATAATCCACTTAATTTCATTATGATTCTTGGAATTTATTTTAGACTTCATTGATATTCAACTCTTAAGAATATATGTCATTCAAAGAATGCTCGATAAAAATAATGGCATTTTACCAACTTTGATACATTCAGCTTTACTTTTTTTTTTGTTCTAATTAAGTAATTTATTGTGATTTTATTAATAAACCTGAATAACGATTTTAGATAAAAAATCAACTAGTGCTAAGAAAATAAATACCTTACTATTTTTACCTTAACGTTTCTTTATCTCTATCATCTACCTGCCCTTTACGTATCGATTTACTCTAACACTTCCATTTATTTATTTTTACACAAATCAAAAAAGGTAAATATATGCTCGATACAGCAGCCGAAAGCTTCTGCTTGTACCTCCATAAAATCGTTTCCTATATCAAATAGAGGTGTACAGATTTTATTACTTCGTTCTTATTCTCTCATCATTACAAAATCCTTTTCGATTCACATTTTACGATCACCCACTTTCCCCATAAACTCTCACCGATACTCAGATATAACTCATGTAAAAAATATTTCTAAAATTGTGAAATATTAATTTTCCCCAACAACTATTTATTTAAATTTAATTTAATTAACTTGTTTTTGTTAAAAAGGAAAATTAGCTCGTAATATTTACTATTAAGTATTAAAAAAATTTTTTTCAAGCAATTTTTTTATCACCACGATAGATATAAATGACGATATGAAAGAGAATTGCTAGAGTATCAACAGTATAACAGTAACACTGCAGCAGTTGTGTGTACATAAGTGTGCACATAACGTTCTTGAGAGATGATACGGTGCAAAAATAAAAGAAAAAAATATATTGCACGCCATTATCTTTAAGGATTACCTCCGATATGGCGTTCTCAACAACATCCGTCTTCTTCTCGTAATATCCTACTAGTCTGCCTATCGCATATCGAATTACGTTTTACGTTCCTTTTTTTAAATATATAGACGTTTATACAAAGGGTGAGTTTCTCAAATACAGAATACTTGTTTTGGACCACCATTCTCAATTGCTTTATTGAGTTTTTCATAATAGAATTGGTGAAAGCTCTTCTATCGAGCTTGTTTGTCATTTATTAAATAGACAAAGAAGATTTTATTATTATAATTATTACCATGTTATTAGTAGCTAAAGAATAAAGGAAAAAATACAATGAAAAATCCTCAGTTTTATTTTTTTTGAATAATCCCCGAGTTTTAATGAAATAAATGAAAGATTATTAATCATTATGTTCTAAATAAATTTTACTCCAGAAAAGAAAAAAAATGACGAAGAAAATATTTTCAATTTGTCGTTGAAGCAATAATAATTATAAGAGATTTTTTTTCGAATTAAAAACAAATCAATACTCTACGTCAGCATAATGATAATGATAGAATTTCTTTGACGATAATATTTCAAATATAATTATTTTCATGAGAAAATATGAACAAGCGCAATTTCAGCTTATCTAAATACAATGTGGCATTCTACATAATAAACTTATTCGGCATTATTGCAATTCACCCTCTATAGATGTGTGTATATATTCCAATTTACGTATATATGCATGTACACATCAAAAGCACGAGGTTGAGAGAGTTGAAAGAGATGGAGTAGATAGAAAGAGGAAGAGAGAAACACCTGCTTCACTATAAATATACGAGGATTCACCTCTCAACGCTTGGTCATGCTCTAAATCTCTCTTTCGTGTAATCCGTAAATATGTAACCATCCCAATTCGTCATCAGACATATAAATTATGCGAGAACACGGTGAGATGTGTGTCTTGTGGTTCGTCCATTACGTTTAATTCCGTACAGAGGATAATAAAAAATTTTATATCTAATATTGTTGCCTTTTAGAGTAAAATAATTTTTATACAAAGAAAAAATGGTTTTGAAATAAAAGAAATTACATTCAGATAAAGAACAATTAGTAATTACAAATGTAACTAATGATGAATTACAATTCATTGGCACTTTTGCTTCGATTCCGTTAGTTTGTGTTATACCTCTGGGTATACACTATTTTACGGCTGCGGTTTTGTTCCGTGCACGGACCGATTGTTATTAATTCAGTCTCTAGAGACTCACTAATATTCATTTAAATATTGTAGGCGATATGGCATTTCCAGCTATGTGAAAAACATTGAGAACCAATATCTACAATAAATAATTCAATATCGACATATTCACCTGGAAAACAATTCTAATTGTTTGTCACTTACAAACTCTATATTGTTTCTTTTTGATAATATCGATGAAATATTTTTTCTCTACAAACAAAAATCAATTTATTCATCATAAAAATATTTTAAGTTTGTTATTTTGATGATTTAACTTTCGAATTACTATTTAGGAAAATTGATAAGCAGTAAATTATAACAATAAAATAATGATTAAAATAATAAATTTGGAGATAAAATATCTTATAGCTTACGAGTAAATGATTGTCGACAACGAGTATAACCAAAGTAATTGAACAAATTTCAGTCGACAGTTATTGGAGAAAATAATGAAACCAACATGTGAATATGAAGCGATTGATTTCATTCATTTTTAACGTCACGACAGAGTAGCTACCAATTATATTAAATGTCTAATAATCCTTGTGGTGGGATAACGTCATACAGTGTGTCATTGAATGAAAATTTGGCAGAGTGCCATGGTTTACAAAATATGTATCATAAATTTACATCATGCTACATTACGTACTCTGAACTACACAACAATAAATGGTTATGTACCGAATGACTAGAACGATTAACGATAAAATACTACTTTCTACATACTATTTTTTTAATAAACAAAAATTTTCTACTAATAACAAATATTAATAAGAAAAAAATTAACAGTAGAAAGAAGACATTTATTATAACTACTAGCAGAGCATCTTTTATCGATTACAGATGACGTTTGAGTATTCGGCATGCATTTGTATTTCCGATTTGTGTCTAGTGGTAGGTCTATTCGCCAAAGCAATTATATATTCTAACTCCAGGAAGCGATAACTGACCTGAATACGCATACAGGGGTGGAGGTCTCTCATGTTAACATTCACGTTTACTATCACAAATACCTTTACATATCTTTACATATATATATACGTAGCCACATGTATGTAAGTATGTATGTACCATCCGAGAGTGTCCCCACAGGTTTATATAGCCCTATAGCACCCGCGTGCAATTGTACTCACGCTTCGTCGCTATCTGACCGTTTGCACGAACAATATAGTTAGCATTCTGCGGTCACCGGTAGATTTATGTATTCGCGATGCCAACGCGACCTATCCCCCTTGCACTTCTTCCCCAATTTCTCCATGATTCTCTTATTCGATTATCAACTGAATTCGTGAGCACAGTTAACCAATTGTTGTTTGGAGAACTAATGTTTTTTTTTTGTTAATGAGTAAAAGTAATTTTTTTCATCGTCAAGGATATTTTTATGGAGGATTATTTAATGAATTTAATCCGCTCTTATAAATGATTTTACGTTGCAAATAGATTGGAGTGAAATTTCATTTAAATCTCGTGATCGAAAATTTTAAAAATATTAATTTAGCTTTTTAATTGGGATATTTTTAATTGATAGAATATTACATGCAATAAAAATCATCAATTCTCATTGGAAATAATAAAATATTCAATATACCATTGGATTCAATTGAATTCGAATTTATAATTTCATTGCTTTTTACGGATTCTCGTTGAAAAATGTTTGCAAAAATCATATAATTAAGAGTGATTATTTCCGAATATGCTTGGGTAAGATTCTTTTTTTATATGTATTAAAAATAATAACGAAATTTTGTCGTTTGAAAGTAACACTGAGATTTGTAATAAATTATGTAATGTAATTGGAGCAAATTTTTTTTCTGAAACGAAATATTTAGATTAAAAATGAAAAAATACTATTTTTAATAATAAACTACTTTTCTGTGACATTTATAAAATTTAATGTTCCCAAATAATAACTTATTTAATTTATTAAATTAATAATCGACCTGTAATTCAGCATTAATTACCGACAATAAAATATTCTAATCGATGCTGTGATTATGAAAAGGTAAAAAAAAATATCTAAGTAAAACTCATTGAATTATTATGATGGTTATAATTATAGCTCTGTACTGACACTTTCTTCTGCTTAATTGGATGGAAAGAGCAAGTGAAAGAGACAGAGACTACTGGACGATGCAATGAACAAATTGATATCGCAGCTGATACTTTGGCAAAACTACTACATTAGACACAGCATTTGGCACGGACATGTCTCAACCTCTGACGTCATAGTAATTACCAAAACACCGTGTAACAACACACGATGTCCGCAAACGACCCCCAGACACGATGGCACATTTTACATTTACGAGGACATGAATACTAAGTAGATTTGCCAAAATTTGTGAATTACACGATATAGTAGTTGACGATATATAAGTTATTTCGTCTGAATGCCATCTACCACAAGTCATTTAATTAACAGCAACAATAAAAAATTGTGTTTTACCTAAAAATAAATAAATAAATAAAATACTAGAAGAATTTATGCAGTCTTAATAAAAAAAGAGAAAAAAGAGATAAAAAAATATACCTGATACACGTGTACTCTATGACCAGTGCGTGAAGCACGATCTTCAAGACTCAGATGGTCGGGCCATTTAAAAATTTAAATGTCTGGATATATCCTTCCGTAACATGAATACCGGTTTAGCCCTTTAAATTCCTCTTTAACAACGTGCTCCTTTTACTTATTTTTTTCCTACCACAATCACTATTTCTCAGGCACTCACTAACATCCCTTTAATAAATAATAATCAATTATTAATTAAATAGTTTTGATAATCAATTTATAACACAAAAAAATTATTTATTCATCAATATTTATCACTTATTTAATTAAAATAATCTCAGATTACTTGAAAATCATTATTGGATTACAATTGTTAATTATGTATTTTTACAAATTATCATTAATAAATATTTAATGTAAATAATCATTTTATTGCTTTAAAATACGAAGGTACATATAAAAACATCAATAAAAATCACGTGCTTTTTACAAATATATTAATACTTTTTAATCATTATCGTTGAATTGAAATAATTGACAGCAAAGAAAACGAATTCGTTACTATAAAAAGAATACTAAAGTGTTTTGGAAGAATAAAATAAATATTGTATTATTTGATAAATAAATATCTATCTATTTTTTTCACTCACATTAGTTGTCCTACTCTCTATTTCTGACATTTGTTTACTTGTTCTAGCGTAGGAATATTTCGCGCGTATTTTTGAGGCTAAATAAACCAATAAGTGTGATAACATCATAAAAAAAAATCAATTATATAGTGAACTTAATGATGTCATTAGTTTACTTAATATATCACTCGCAATATCAAATTAACAATCAAAAATTTGCACACGACATTAACCACTGCACACAGCATCCACATTCCATTGTAGGGAAGCTGTGGTCCAACTACGCATTTCATAACAAATATGTCCGCGCCGGGAAACTAGTCCCCACGCGCGAAATCTACTCTATACTCTCATCATGATTTTTTCCAATTTTATGAGTTAAAAACTAACAATATACTCAAACAGTCATTTGTTTAATAAATTTTAATATATATGCTATTTGAATTAAGATAATTAATTAATTACTAGTTAATAATCACGATGGCATGCAAAATCATAAAAATACGTCAGTGAAAGGACGCTGGTAACTCTAATTCAACATATTTCATTATTTCCAAAGGAATTTCTAGTACTTTATAGATTAAAATGTTTAATTAAAAATAAGGAAAAATTATTTAATGTTCTTATTCTATACCCTTATAATAAGACAGAAGTTTGGACGTTTTTCCCGACCACGCACGCGACACAGCTTCTCCCTTAGCTGCCATTATCCGGAATGACGTCACATTCTGTGTTTCGCGCAAACTCTGCGTGATGTCGCCACTTGAACGGAAATGCGCGACTCCAGCTTTCAAAATGGCGAACGTCAGACAACATAAACACTGTGACTACTACTGTGATTTTTATGCGCACAAGTTCACGCGTGTTATTGTTTTTTTGCACTCATAGATCTCGTGTTATACGAATTTCATTATAATTATATAATTTTTAAAAAATTAAAAAAATTAACGGTCAAATATATTTTTCAAATCGTCTAACCACTCAATTATATGGTGTTACATATAAGTACCATCTGTAGAACCAGGTGTCATTGTATCTAGTGGTCTCGTCGTCATCTTTAACTAATCAACAAATTTATTAACGATTATGACTCGTGATTTTCCTAGCAATCAAGGTAATATATCAACTAAATTGTTTATTTGTAAAATATATATCTTATTATTATTTCATGTCTCAACATCTAGTTGACAATTGAAATAAAATTATTTGAATAACTTTTTCAGGTATTATTAATTAATTTATTCAAGTTCACTCTCTAAATTAGTTTCAATAGAGTTGACATCTGTTCCTTAGCCTTGACATTCTTCAGATTGTCATTAATAAAATACATATTGATGAAGAAAAAAATGCCAAGTAATCTTAAGTCTATAATTGATTTATTATTTTGACCTTTTGTTAGCCAAAAAAAAAAATCATTTTTGTTATTGAAATGATTAGAAATTGTGTATATTCTAACTGAATTAAAACATACCAACACACAATTGATTCAATAAATTTATTAGTTCTACAAATTATTGTTAAATAATCGAATTTACATTGACTAGTTGGTGCTGCTATCATATGGCAGAAATTGAAGCTAGAATAAAGCGGAATATTCAAATGGAATAATATAAATAATTAGTTAATCTACTATTAACTAATGTTTTAATATGTTTACTAATTAATACATTTTTCCATCATCAAAAAGAATAATTAAATGCTTCAATTAGTGGTAAATTGGTCAGAAAATATGAGTTAGGAAAAGAATTTAATTTAAGATTCTAATGAATGATAAAAATGTATCTATCGGTGGAAATGCGTGAAATTATGTAGGTAGATAGTTATTGTAATACAATTCTTTTTAGTGACACAAATTTGCCTGTGGGAAGAAACGAGGGAAACAAAATTGGTCATGTAGAATTGGAGAGTAAAAAAAGAAAAAGAGACAGAGAAAATGGGTGTGGGACTAGGCAGGCGATTTATCCAGGCTGGTAATTAGTAAGGGTAGAAGCAATAGTGAGGGAGTACACTGAGGGTTGGACACAGACATAAAAAAGAAGAGATAGAAGAGTAAGAGAGAGACAGTGTGGAAAACTTAACCAGGAATGACGAACTATGTAGGCAAGCAGTCGGGCATTTCATTTCGCTCTTTCTCGACAAGATCTAATTTAATCTTTTAAATTAAAAACATATCAAAGGAAGAATATTTGCTGTTCATTTAAAAGTACGCAACAGAAAAAAATGATTCTACTCTCGCTTTGCTTTATGTTTAATATTATATGCAATTCTCAAATGTCTAGTTTCTTTTAATCTTTAACATTTATTTAGTTGCTAAAAAATTAGGCATATAAATGTGATAAATAATGAAAATATTTAATTAATATCATTTTTCAAATTCTCATTCATCAGTCTGAGACAGAATTTTGTAGTAAAATTTTTTAAAAATATTCACAACAAAAAAAATTGCTATTCATATAATTACTATAGTTGATTTGACTAAAAATACGGAATTTATTCTTCAATGAATGTATTTTCAAAAATGACAGACATAAAAAATGTCCTTTTATAACACGTCTATCTCTGTACATATAAAGGAAGAAAAATGCTTTTGAGTACACAATACAGAGACAAAATAGATGAAAACGATGATGGTTACATTCTACTTTGATCCTTTATCATCGAGTACATATTCATTCTATGCACCATTGCATCGCACTAATTAAACTCGCATTATTCATTAAAATGAAAACCAAGCCAATCAATCGCAAACCTTTAATTACAATACTACCTAATCAAATAAATAGTATTTGAATATATTTATAGTTAATAACTAATGAAATTCCATTGCATCAACCTTGATTATTACATAAATTATAAAAAAACAATTATCTAACAGAAGCAACTATATTCACATTTACTTATAAATTCAAAGAGTATGAAGAGGATTAGTGTAGTCATAGAATTTACTAGAAATGCTTTACCATCTTTGACAACCTAAATTCGAATTCTTTACGTTAACTTACCTAGAAGAAGCTTCAAGTAAGACACGATGATTTCTTCTTGAGTAGATTCATTCCCTTATACCTGCTTTCAGTCTAGACTCGACTATAAAAGAAAATGTGTTCAGTTACTGATGGTAGTGAGTGTAGACAGTCTTAACTCTCTCTTTCTCTTATTCTCGTCCTCTCTATCTTTATTCCTCTTATCTTGCAAGAATTAAATTCAAGCAAGTTCTTGTTATATATCTGAAGACTCGAAAGGAAAATCTTTCCTTTCCTCTAATGTGTCTGTATATACTGAAGTAGTTTTCAATCTTCTATTGCTGGTTTAAAGTCTGGTCCATGGTTTATAACGTCATATTATAATTTAATTTTCAACGTAATAATCCTTTTGGTTTTTGTCTTGAACTCAGTTGTTCAAAATCATTTATAATCTTATTATTGTATTATAATTTTAACAAGATTTCAACGTAATTTTCAATAATTCACCAACAAAAAGTTCAGTTAGTGATTTCAACATTGGTCAGCAAAAAAAAATGATATAAAAAATTATAAAATTCTTTGATAAATTCGCATGAGAATTAATATTAATAATTAGTTATATTACTACAAGTCATTTCACCAACTTGCAAGGCCAATGTGTGCAGGGTCGCTGCCAATTCTCTAGTCACCTCTACATTGCTAGCACTGATCATCATCTCCCAGCTCTTAATACTCGTCTCATAGTCCAACTTGGTAGCTCGAAATATCCTCAGTCTTGTGTACAAATGTAATCAAGTTAGAATTTAACCACAGTCGTGAATATTTTCTGAAAAAAAATGAACGACAGACAGAAAGTTCTTAAGTATGTTAGTCCAGGAAGTGAGCCCAATCGCGGAAAACGTATTAGTCAATCAGTGCCACCGGAGAAAAAAAAACGAAGACTTCCTGATGGCTTTGGAATGGTAGCACGTGGTGTGTTTATACTTTTTACATTTTTCTTTGCTTCATAATCATCGTTTCTACTTATTTTTATCACTGTCTGTGCCTAAAATATCCCCCTTAGACAAGTAATCCTAGACTATTCTCGACAATTGATGTTAGTTTATTTAAAAAATGTTAATAAATGTATTGTTTTCAGCAACAAATCCCCCAACGACGTATCTAGATGAAAATGTAAATCGTTTACCAGACCAGAATCGGATTAAAAAAATCGGTGAGACAATTTTATGTGTCTTGTTCATTCCAACTCTAAAAAATATGAAAGTTGATGAAATCGGTTGGCTAAGATACAAATTCATTGTAATAAAAGTTCAAAAATCGTCAAGTTGATTTTCACATGAGTTTACCATGTGTTTTACCGTTTCTCTCTTTTTCTCTTTTATTTAGTGATCAACTTTTTGGCACGATAAACCCAATTTTTTCTGGCATTCTTCCACAATTTCTTCCCTGATTTTTTTTCTTTAACTTTTCACTTTTACTATCAAGTCAAAATAAGAGAAAAAATAAACAACAAAGTGTTTAGCATGACTGTACACTTGATGTAGACATGAATAAATTTCAATTGACTATTTTTTCATACAATTTTAGATACATTTATGTGAATCACGACTTTTTATCAAACTTCACGTAATCGTGGTGACGTGACTCTGATGACGTTCGTAATTACCTATGTTTCTAAACGAAAACATTTAATTTTACGCCACTTTTTTACGCTATAGTATATCCTATTTATTAATAATCAATTTTATAAAAAATTTTTAATATTATGAATCATCGAGAAATATCTTTTAGACAATTTTATTCAAGTTGACATGAATATTAAAGTTGATAAATACTAATAATAAAATTAATAATAACAATAATATAACGAACAAAGTTCTGGATACGTATTCAATGCATAATCGTTAAAAGAATCTTTGAACAAGCGTTCGTTTAAACGTGAGATTTTGATTGGATGCAAGACCGTTTTATTACTCGAACTAGTTCATAATTGGCTACCTGTCGAGTAAGTAGTCTCGAGCATTTAGTGCGCTTATTACTCTGAATTTATTTTACCTTTATTCTTTCTCTGTCTTTGATTTTTTTCATTCTCTACAAGAAAATTTCTTGCTCAAAGTCTGTGTGTATTTTTTTATCAATGAAGTGAAAAAAAGATCAAAGATCAACCAGAAATAAAGAAAAAACGGCCATCACTTTTCTTTACCTTGTAAAATAAATTTATTAATGAAACTGTGTTTTATTTAGATAATGGCCCAAGGAAAGAGAGGATAGAAAAACTCTCTACGGCCAATGAGAGCACCAAGACGGATGATAAAGATGCTGGACGACCAGTACAAGTGGTGGTTGCTCATCCAGACCATACTTTTGAATTAGATGAAGATGCTTTAGCTGAGATTCTACTTCAAGATGATGTCAAAGATCGTAGTGTTGTTGTTGTATCAGTAGCTGGTGCTTTTAGAAAAGGCAAAAGTTTCCTTTTGGATTTTTTCTTGCGTTATATGGCATCCAGGGTGAGTAAATAATTCATTAATATCAAAAATTGAATTAACAATATTTAAAATGATTATTAACTTGCAGTATTTAAAAGAAGAAAAAAATGATTTATGGTTGGGAGATGAAAATGAACCATTAAGTGGCTTTTCGTGGCGAGGTGGATCCGAAAGAGATACAACAGGAATCCTCATGTGGTCTAAAGTATTTCCCTGTACTTTGCCAAATGGAGAAAAGGTTGCCATTATTCTAATGGATACACAAGGAGCTTTTGACAGCCAATCAACTGTCAGAGATTGTGCTACAGTGTTTGCTTTAAGCACCATGCTGTCATCCGTTCAAATTTACAATCTTTCTCAAAATATTCAAGAAGATGATCTGCAACATTTACAGCTTTTTACTGAATACGGTCGATTGGCGTTAGAAAAATCTGGATCTGTACCTTTCCAACGTCTTCAATTTCTCGTAAGAGATTGGAGTTATCCTTACGAAGCACCATATGGTGCTGACGGTGGTCGAAAAATTCTTAAAAGAAGGCTAGAAATTTCAGATAGACAACATCCAGAGCTTCAAAGTCTACGAAAACATATTACCTCATGTTTCTCTGATATATCATGTTTCCTGATGCCACATCCTGGTTTAAGGATTGCTACAAATCCCAAATTTGATGGCCGCTTGTCAGAAATTGAAAGAGAGTTCAAACAACAGTTGAAAGATCTTATTCCTGCACTTCTTGCGCCGGAAAATTTAGTCACAAAGAAAATAAACGGCCAAACAGTACGAGCACGTGATTTATTGGAGTATTTTAAAAGTTACATTAGAATTTACAAAGGGGATGAATTGCCAGAGCCAAAAAGTATGTTGGTGGCTACAGCAGAAGCCAATAACTTGTCCGCTGTGGCGGAAGCTAAAGATCTGTATCTACAAATGATGGAATGTGTTTGTGGTGGTAGTAAACCATTTTTAGCAACTGCACATCTAGAGTCTGAACATCAACGTTGTGTTGACAAAGCACTACACCAATTTACCAACAAACGCAAAATGGGAGGTGACGAATTCAGTCAAGTTTATATGGAAAGACTCATTAAGGTATTAGATTATTATTTGTACTTGTTATTTTTAGAACTTGAAAGTCTAAAAATTTATTTAATCAATTTTTCTAGACATATGTTTTGTTTTAACTTCCAAGTATTTTTCACCAACTAAATTGATTTTTTTTCTTCTTTACAGGATATGAATGAGAGTTTTCTCCAATTTAAAGCACACAATGAAAGCAAAAATATTTTTAAAGCTGCACGAACTCCAGCTGTGTTTTTCGTCATTGCTGTTACGACGTATCTCTTTTCCGGTCTCTTTGGTCTTATAGGACTTTATGCATTAGCTAATATTTGTAATATCATCATGGGTTCTGCACTTCTTACCCTGGCTTTCTGGGCATACATTAGGTGAAGTATTTTTTTAATTTCTTTTAGCTAAAAAATTATCCTTTAAAACTTTTTTTCATTAATTTAAATTATTATATGTGATTTGAAAACAGATACAAAGGAGAATTTCGAGAAATTGGAGTACAAATAGACAATTTAGCAACTCAAATTTGGGAGAATGTAAGTTTCGATGATATTTATCGAATAAAGCCCAGCACTAATGCCATACTCCGAAAGTATTTTAATCAAAAATTCAATAATCATAAGAAATATTAATTCCTCAATAAGATAAATATCTAATACCTGTAGGATATCAAGAGCTCGACTAATACCTCGTATTTTTTCTTTATTCCAACAGGCCTGGCTATGCGCTCATCTCATTCATAAAATTCGATATCTTGTCCTGTCATTTTTCCTCACACTTGCAGCCGTTCCTACTTACACTGTCGTTTACACTCACTTTCATAAACATGGTTACATCTGATCTCACGCTTCTTTATTCCTAATTTTACATAATATTTTATTACATTTTGATTGATTTTACTTTATAAATCATTTCTGTTTTATTCTACCATTCAATATTTCTTTTTAATAACCTTAGTTTGATCAAATATTATCTAGAACTGTTATTATTTTTTTACTTTATTTAATCCTGCGCCAATATCTCGAGTGCTTGAGGATTTACAGCACAATTAAGGTATGGATCTGATTGATGACGCAAGCAAGGATTAGTTTTCAAGAAATATCGCTTGATTCTTTAATTTTAATGTATGTTAGCTCGAGCAAAAATTCATAGTGAGAATTATTTCTAAAGTAGTAATATTTGGAGACACTAAGAATAAAATTTCTTTTTAAAAATTTTATTCTTAGTGATTATTAGAAAAATATTATTTCATTAACATTGTTTTTCTACAGATTTTGAAACCAATCTATCAACAATTTGTGGAACAATCAGTGTCAGCAGCAGTCGCACAAGCTGCAGAGATGGCAACTAACTCAACACTGACAATGGATGCTGTTAATGGAAAGATTAAAACATCGTAGTAAATTTTTTACATTAATAATTTAAGTTATGAATCAAAAAAACTTTTTTAATCGTGAGTTTTGTGATAAAATTTTTTAGTAAAATTTTTCTGAGGCTAATAAATATGTCTCACTCTTTTACTGTTATCTTTCAATAATAAAATCATTTATCGTTGATTTATACATAAAACAATACGTATATGTTATATTTCTTACACTTCTAAGTATTGTTTATTGAGAAACAAATAGCAATGTTAGAGCATATATTTATTATTCCATGAACACAATTCATAACTTGAATCTTATTCAATAAAAGAAGACACTTAGTTAAATTAAAATTTATGAGAGCAATATTTTTATTCGTGAAAAAAACTTGCGAAGGGCTTTGTTCTTTTTCGTACTTAAAAATTTTAAATAAATACTAAATCTTATAAAAATTTTAGTACGACGATTGTGTAATAAACACAGAATTCATTTAATAATTTTCATTATCATTAAATCTTCATACTTAAATTGATTGCAATAATGAAAATAATACAAAAATATTAATAGATTCAATAACATACGCAAGATTTTTTTTTGTTACAATAAATAATATTTACAATTACTCATATTATGTCATCATTATTTTTATCAATGTTCAAAGTCTTGCCAATAGCTCATAATCCATCAGAAATATTGTTAAAATTGGCTGAAATTATGTACTAATTGGGAAAAAGATTGAAAATATTTAAGAATCATAATTGTTTATTTAATGATATTATTAATAATGCATATAAAAAAGATAATTTTGTTCATTATTGTACAAATATTTTGACGTAAATCAGATGCCATTATTATATTTTAAAAAAATCTTCTTGTACATTAGAAAATTATTTATAAATTATATTATAATAATCTTTACAAATAATTTCTTTTCCTCGAGATATTTAGAAATTTATTGTACGTACTGTTGATTGATATAAAAATAAAAATAAAAAAACTATTTAATATAGTTCTGTAAACAACTTTTAAACACAAATAAAATAAGTAAAATTATATTTAAAAATATGATAGAAACTGAAACATTGTGGTGTAAGTAATATATCTTTAAATATGAGTATATAGCAATAAATACGTATTTTTCTATTTATAGTAGTTGTAATTCAATTACTTGAGAGTAATCATATTAGTAAAGTAAGCAAGCCATTATTTTAATTATTTTGTTTTTATTTTAAATTAATACAAAATTATATGGGAAACATTTTCTTAAGTAATTCATCACTACGTTTTTTAGCCTCAGACCATAATTCACTGTAAATTTTCAATTTTTCTCTTGCTGCAAAATTAGTTGGTTCAATATGAACTATTCTCTCGAAATCTTTCATTGCCTGTTCTACATTTTTATTGCCTCCAAATGCACATCCACGTCGATACATAGCTTTAACATTATTTTTGTCTCGATTTAGAACCTTTGTACATAAATTAATTGTATGATCATAATTGTTGAACTTTAATTGACATATTGCCATATTATTATAAATACTAGTCCGTAATTTGTAAAGATTTGTATACAAAGTACTATTCAGTTCTAAATCATCAATAGGTTCCAAGGAAATGATAATCTTGACTGCTTTACTAAATCTATTAAAAGCATCTTTAATTCTATTTTGACGAACAAGTTCGACTGCCATTTCTTTGTATTTAGCTGCTCTTTCATATTTTTCTTCAGGTGTCCATTCCCAAATCGGCTTAAAAGGTTCATGTTTAATTACAGTTGCTTTAAATTGAATCGACTCATTACATTCTTCTATTTTCGGAAGTAAACTTGGTAGGGTAATGTTTATGATGGCTGTTTCATTTTCTCCCATCCATTTGATAGCTCTCTCAATTTGTCGGTCAATCTCTGAGAGAATTTCATCGACAGTAATTATCACATTTGACTTGCCATTCAATATTTCACTATGAAATTCATTAAGATCAATTTTGTTTGAAATATCGAGATCTTCAATAAATAAATGAACTCTTGAACCTTCTACTGGTTTATTCGAGACGCTTCCATGAGTAATCACACGTTTTTTTACTAATTCATCTGTAGAAATATATTTTGTATTCATTATTGAAGTAGAACACTTTTATGTTACATAAAGCTGTAAAATATATAACAATAATTATTCGTTGTAGTCAAAAAATCCATTAAAAATTTTTTTTCATGTTACTTACTAGTGTACAACCTTCGTGAAAATCTTCCTTCCCTTCATTGGTCGCGTTAAATTTTCGACCTAGTTTGGCGCGCAATTCGAATTATTCATATAAATACATAATATTTGAGACACTTTTCATTTTAAAGTCATCTTCATAAAACTGATTATCTTACCCTGGATATGGTTATTGATAAAAAATCCTACATGAAGAGCTTAAAAAACTTTTTATACAGTAGTTTGATAAAATCTGGATCATAAATCAAGAAAATATTGTAGGTAAATAAGGAATAAATGAATTAATTAATATTAAGAAATCTAAAAATAAATAAAAAGTATTTCATTTTAGTGATTGTAAAATATCATATTCTACTGTTAATGCATTGGACAATAATGCAGCTAAGAAATTGTACATGAATTCAATAATATTTATTCAAGAATTTTTTACAAATAAAATATTAAAATTTATATCAGATTGATAAATCAATAAATTAATTTAATCATTTAATTAAGAAACATTTTTTATTAACTATTCTTGAAATAACACAAAATATTTAAATTATAACTTAAAAATTATCTAGTGATAATATCAAAGTGTCGTCGATTAACCTACTTCAAGCTTGGTCCACTTTTCACTGGTAACCCAAAGCCATTTAGCTAAAACGTCATTTTGTGCTTCTTCGGATGGGTCAGTTTGTGAAAACTCACTATTAAAAAAAAAAATTAATTAAATAAACGAATTTTATGATATAATGTTTCAATATCAATCATCAACTTTACCTAAAATAAGCTCCAGTAACTTTCTCCAGAGATGGATCTAAAGCTAGCTTCAATATCGGTTGAGCGCCTTGAACAGGAGTCTTAGTCAAAAGCCATAAAAATGGTTTAACGAATGGTTTTGCTAGTTTACTTTTAGAAAATGCCATGTGTCGAGTTATTTGTGTGTCAACAACGCCTGGATGCACTGCATTGACTGTCACTCCAGTTCCTAAAGTATTACAATTTATAATTAAATTTATTTAAAACTTCGTCATGGCTGAATTATTGTCAAATTGATTTTAATGCATACCTTCGAGTCGCTTGGCTAATTCTCTTGTGAACAGAATATTAGCAAGTTTACTTTGTGCATAAGCATCAGCAGGATCATAACTATTTACGCTGTTCAGATCGTCAACTTTTATTTTTCCAGATTTATGGGCAGCACTAGAAACATTTATTACTCTAGCTGGCGCTGATTGTTTCAAACGATCTAACAAGAGATTGGTGAGTAAAAAATGACCCATATGATTGACACCTAATTGTGTTTCAATTCCATCTTTGGTGACATTTAGAGGGCACCTCATTATTCCAGCATTGTTGATTAAGATATCTAATCGTTTATGTTCTACAAAAATGATCAATCGTAGCAATAAGCGCAAAAGTTTATTAAGAATTGATCAAAAATAAATTTATCTTACCGGATTTGAATTTGTTGACAAACTCTCTGATACTTGCTTGTGATGATAAATCACATTTGCGGCAATAAATATATTTATTTTCAGTTTCAAGTACTATTTTCATACGAGCCTTAGCAATAATTATGATGTTACAATTATGATTATTAATGAAAAAAATTAATTTTAGCGTAATTATGTTTTACCTCTTCACAACTTATTAAGTCTCTACATGCCATTACCACTTTAGCTTGTCTCTCAGCTAAATCACGAACAACTTCTTTGCCAATTCCTGAATTTGCACCAGTAACTATAACAACTTTGCCTTCCAGCTTTTCTTTGCCATCATACTTGTCGCATCCTCTTGCTGATCCACCTCCTAATTTATCTCTGAATGAATTTAATAAAATAATTTAATTATAAGTTTAATAATTTAACAATAAAAAGATATTGAATTGTAACAAAATATTAATTAAATGATGAAAGAGTTTACCTAAATATAAAAGCTGCTCCAATCCCTGTACAAGTAACACTGCCGAGAAAAATCCATGTTGGAATTTTTATTTTTCTCATTATTAAAAATCCGTATTATTTCACATGTACAGAGTGTCCGATCACTTATAGCAAAACCGAATATATATTATGTAAAAAAAAAAATAAAAACGATCTGATATGGGAACTTATATTCGCAAATTAATAGTTTTTGCGAAAAAAATTATTAAAGTTTGGTGGATTAATTCGCGTTTCAATGGAAATAATCGCCATTAGGTATCGTTACGCCACCTACAACTGTGAAAATTATTCTTCCGGAATTCAAATTCATAATGAATTTTAAAATTAAACTTTTGAAAATTTTATTATTTAAAAATGTATTTAGGTAATGTGCAATGCATCCTACTATTGAAACTGTTTTTATAACGTTTAGTTGTTTTTATTATGTTAATTCATTATGATTAATTCATGAATTAACATAATAAGAAAAAGAATAATATTCACAATTGTAGGTAGCGTGACGATACATAATGGCGATAATTTTCATTAAAACGCGAATTAATCCACCAAACTTTAATAATTTTTTTCGCAAAAACTATTAATTTGCGAATATAAGTTCCCGTATCAGATTGTTTTTATTTTTTTTTTCTACATAATATATATTCAGCTTCGATATAAGTGATCGGACACCCTGTGTTAAAAGTGGTGCCACAATACGGCATCACATTCCATTAAGAGGGAGGTGAGCCGACTGGGCTTCCGTATGCTACAGTATGTACAAGTAAAGATATTTTGTTTGATTGATTTAAAGTTTCAATAATTTTCTGTATTTTTACAAAAATTAACTACTCCAAGAAGATAATCATTATTAATTAATTTTACCTGACTATTGTAAGTGAAAAATTTGATGTAATATTGTTTTTATCACATTTATTTAAAAATAACCTCTATCTTGTTATTCTCTTATAGAAATAGGTGATATTTGGATTTTGTGTTCGTATTTATTTCCTTAAAATTGTTTAAATATGAAACTATTAACCCATAATATGCTGACGTCTAAATGTTTGAAAGGAGTTAATGTAGGATATCCTCTGGGAATTGTGGTAAGCATTGAATTTAATTGTAAAGATTATTTATACATGGTTACACGTGACGTTGGATTGAAAACTTTTTTTTTATTTTGTAATTTCTACCAGGCCAAAGACGTAAAGGTGTCACAAGTTGATTTCAGTTCTGAATTTATTGCTCGTATTATTCCGAAATTAGACTGGAATACTTTATGGAAAGCTGCTGATAGTGTAAGTCAATTCATTCTTTTCTTATATATATATATATAATAATTCTTATAAACACTTCTCTTTATAGATAGGACATGTAAATGATTTACCAGAATCATTGATTCAAGATTTTGAAAATAATGAAGAATTTCTCAAAAAAGTCCATCATGTTTTATTAGAAGTGGAAGTGATGAGCGGAGATCTGCTTTGTCCTGAATCAGGACGTAAGTTTCCCATTAACGATGGCATTCCAAACATGCTGTGTAATGAAGATGAGGCGTAGTCAAGCGGATAAATATTCTGTATATTAACAATAATTTTAAATTATAGAGATTAGCAACAATTAAAAAAATAATTTATTATAAAATTAAAGAGATATTATTTCATATTGATAAAAGATATTTTTACCCTATAAACTTAAGAATCATTTGTAAAGATATATTTAATTTTTCATAACTTATTAGTATTCTTCCGATAACGGTCGTAGTCATGCGCATCGTAATTTGCGAGACATCTTTAGATAGAAAGAACTTTCTGGTTTGATTATAGAATCATTTTTAATCTTGGAATTATCACTATCATTTAAATTAAATCATTACTTAATATCTGACTGTCCAAAACATATCTTTAATCCTGGTTTCTATCATCCACATTTATATTACGTATTTCTATTTTGCATTGAATATTTAATTTTTCTCATTTTTATTTCAATATTTCCATTTATTTCTTTATTTATAGAACAAAAATATTTCGAAAAAACAATTTTTTATTGTTGTTATCAACGCTATTCTAAAGTGCTAATTTATTACTTTATTTATCAATCAATAACTTCTTTATTCAATTCAACATATACAATTATATTATGAGATCTGTTTAACAATTTATTATTGTATAATTTTTTATTCTATTCTATATAACACCAGTAGCTTTCCTGTATTGCCCAAAATGTTCCAAATATTGTTGAATGGTGTCTAGGGGTTGATAAATATCATTCATCCGATTCTACAAAAAAAAAAAATAATTAATCAATACCATAAAGTCGAAAATAACATAAAGTTTTCAATAATAGATACATAAAAAACTTGTAAGGCTTATTTTTTTTATTAATTATCATTAATGAAATTAATTAAAGATTTACCTGTAAATACTGTGGAGGCTGGTTCGACACTGCTGATCCCAAGAATCCCTGAAGAAATTCTCTCATGAGTTCCCAGGCACTTCCCGGTACTACGCAAGGTCTGTACTCGACCTAGAAAGAAAGCATCAGTTTTACAACATATTGTCCATGTTCAGCCAACTAAATCAGACTATAGGGACTCGTTTTTCCAGTTCGATCTCTTCAATTATTCTTTAAGTATTATTCTTGTCATTGCTATAAATTTTCATTAAACCTTATTTCTATGTAGGATTAGATTTGCAATAATCAAAGTTTAAATTACTTCGATGGCTTTAATAATAAATCATGAATAAAATGGAAAAATACTATAAAATTTTTTTTTAGTCATTATAATGTGTTCTTTCAACTCTTTATTTTATTTCATTGAAGAAATAATTTCTTTTTCCGATATTTCTATTAATAAATTTAATTGCTTCGTCATAGGTTGTATCAATCATTAGCTACTGTTTCTGAATATTTTTAATGGAAATTAAGTTATTTTTCGTATTCTAGTTGAAACACAAAAAAATATTATGTACCTCAACAAGAACTCCTTTGAAATTCTGGCTCATGGTAACACTTCCAAGTTTAACACAAAAATCTCCAATTTCAAATCTCGGACCTTTCGATTCAATTTTCGTTTGTTTTTTACTTGTATAAATAGAAGCGATCTTCAGCATTAGTAAATCAAACAATCCATCAGCGATGAGAGGTACTACTTTGGTTCCCGACTCCAGAATAGCAAATACTGATGCTGGTTGTTCTGAATTATGGAGTACGTGAACTGTTCGCTGGACCCCTAAAACGAAAATGAAATATTTATTAAATTCTATCAAATTATATTTATAAAAAAGATGATCAAAAAATCTTTCTCTTCAATAATTGTTCAATTTAAATCTCTACTATACAGGAAATTTTATCACATGAAATTCATATGTAAAAGTTGATTATTTAGTGAGAGGATCTATAATGAATATAGAAGTGAGAAAAAAAGGTGTATATGTATGTATAAAGGTGAAAGAGAAGGAGAGAGAAATGTTGAAATAGCGTGTGAATTATGTTGAATATTCATATAGCGAAAGAGCACCCGACTATCTATAATATTAGGGTATCGCCACGCGTGCGAATCAGATGTATGAATTATTAATCACTTGGATCATGTAATAAACCCTTCAGAGCCTCTTTTCTTTTACCTCAAATGACAAATTTCTTAATTATTAACCAAAGCCGACATCTTTCGACAGTTTTATGTTCGATAATTTCAGTCTCGAAGCTTTTTATTTATTACTCACATAATTTTCCATTAATTACATAGTAAAATATCACAATGATGCTGCCAATGGATAAATTTTATTAGTTTTACTTTAATTTCCGCTCGAAAAATATTTTATTCCCGAAAAAACAAAAATAGTCAACATGTAAAAGTGAGCAAAAAATTGGAGAATATACTGAAATGATCTCTAAAATTTTCTGAACAATGATGTATAGATATATGCATGTATGTTGGCAATAAAATGGTGCATTGTCAGCTGCATTGAATGAATCAAGGCCGGATGGATTTGGATGTTAGTGTTGCACTGTCGCATCCAATGTTTTTCTCACTTGAAACGCAAACACCAAGCGAATATACAACCATTTCGCATTACAACAAAGCAATTATACGTTTATCTGCACGAACAAGTCGTACACGTGACGAAGATACGTGCTTCTAGTGATATGTCCAGTTTACTCCGTATCGAATTAAACGTCTCGTGCGTCATTTAAGTTATGGATTTATATTTTTTAATCACATTACCGTCCAACATAATATCTGATAATGCATTGATCTTGGTTTTGATTATTAAATACAACATCATAAAAGAAAACAAAACAATTCTTAATAAATTATTTTGATATATAATCTAATAATGTAAACAAATATTGATTGAGTAATTTTTAATAGAAGTAATGACGATTATGTATAGTACAGGAGGTCAAGGGCACGAAATCCAATGAACTCAGTGTGCACGGGGTTATCGAACGTGCCAGCTGGAAATATTTTGTTTCCCTTATACTTACTTCCAGCCTAGTCAACGAAACATCGACGAGACGAGATGCCTGTCGTCTAACATATTTTTCTATTCCACTCGCGCGAATTCTTTACGTCTGCGAATTCACTGAATTTCAGTTGCTCTTTATTTATATTTATAGAAACACTCAATGACCTTAGCTATTTATTTTTTTTTCAGTAACTTATTTTTTCTTTTAATAAATACGGATACTACTTATTTTATCAAATGACAACATAAATATACTCTAATAAATTATGTATGATTTTTAAACTAAGTAATATTTTTTATGGAGTTTTTATGTTTTTCCTAGAGTTGATGAAAAATAAAAAAAAAAATTTTCTATTCTTCTCCTATTATTATTTTAGATTGAATCCGTTAAGAAATTATTTATTTTTTTATAGAAAAAATAATGAAATAAAGGAATGAGAAGTTTATTCAAGTTAAAGAGTAGATTAAAAAAGGAATTGACAAAAGAAAGTTTTTAGTAAGAAAAAGGGAATTTTGTTCGCTAAAAGGCAATAGCGCCTGTGCACTTTCTCCAATGCTATCAGTGATGGTACAACTGCAATTATTGACGAACGACCTGTAACCTCTTCCCGTTGGAGCATTGACGTTATTATTTCCAATAATCGATATTCACCTTAACTATTTCTCAGCTATTTAGAAATAATTTGACGGCAGTAATAAATAGTCTCTAGCAGTTTAATTCAACTGATTTTATTTTAAATATTTTTTTGAAAAGACAATCTCTACTAGTTACAATTTTTTTCTTTTATTCAACTCTTTATAAATTATCGATCGCGAAAAGAGATATGAAAAGGTTCAACCGAAGAATATGAGCGAAATAATAATGAAAAATAAATGGAATAATTTTCTAGGCGGAGATAAAATTGTAGGAAATATAATTAGAGATAATTTTAATGAATTTTGATGTACTGTTGAGAATTATTTTAACTTTTCCATTTGATGGAGGCTTAAAGAAGTGACGAAGAATTAAAAGTTTGAATAAAAAAAATTTTATACATTTTTGTTTTTAGTTCTTAAATTGTTTGGAAAAAATCGTAACAGAATATAACTAATAAGTTTAATTAAGATAGCTATTATGAAATAATTTTTCCCTTCAATTAAATTGAATAACTAGTTTAGATACTTTAGCATTAGTCGACGAAGTTGTCGCCAAGTTTTAACTGTTTTAATTTTCCATTTTTTAAATTTAAAATTTTAAACTTTCCTCATTTCACTTTCATATTTTTTACATTCACTTCACCTTTTTTATATTTACTTTAAAAGGCTTAACAATATTTATTATTTTGAACAAAATATTTCTTAAGAAATTAAAAGCTTTTAAATAGTTTGAATCAAAAAAAAATCATTGAGGTATTTTTTTTTAATCTCCGGTCAAAAATGAACTTAGGGATGCTGATTTATCTAGGATATATGTATTTTACAAGCAAGTAACTCGTCGGTTTCGTACCAATCTATTCACTAAATACATTTGTAAATAAATTCTGTTACAAGTGCTTTTATTAAATTTGAAAGCAAAATTAAATATTTTACTTTTATGAAAAAGTAGCAAAAACGAAAAATGTAGACCTTGTAACAAATTAAACAATTCAATACTAGAGTCCAAGAATATTAAATAATAATAATTGTCATTTGTGCGGTAAAAATAACTATTCTCATTATGAATAGCAAGATTAAAATATTAAAATAAAATTCAATATCAGAATAAATTATTAGAAAGAGCAGAGTATCTAACAGTATTTTCCTGATACCTATAACGTACACTATATATACATATATATATATATGTATAACACATAAATATATATATACACTGATGGAGACTAAGTAGAGGGGTAGAATGAACGATGCAAGGGGTAGTTTTGCGCAGGGTGTCGCGCACTTACCAGCCAACGGGAGCATCGAGGAGATATACACGGGGTCGTATCAGTTGCTCGCGATTCAACGTGGGGTCTAAACTAAATATCGGGAGACCCCAACGTCCCCCCCCCCGAGATTATTGCACTTTCTTTTTTTCTTCATGCACTTTTAAGCCATATCAAATAAACCTTCTTTTATCATTTCAAATTATTCCCTTTTTATTTTACATGTACTTTCTACAATATTAATAACCTATTTAATAGTCATTATTTATTTATTATTTTTATTTGGCTTCATTATTTTATCGCACCAAAATGATTGAATTTAAAATGTGTAAAAGATAAAGAAGTTAGCAAAAATGGAGTTGGGAATAATTTATTTCTTTTTATTTTCTTTGAGAGAGTCGATAAATGGATAAATTTTAAGGGATAACTAGAGATTTATTTTGGTACAAAAAAAGAGATCGTTCATTTTGAGTATTACACAGTGTTTTAGTGAAAGAGTGAAAAATCCAGAAAAAATGGTCTACATTCAAGATCAAACTCTCGATAGAATAATCAAGTCTCATAGCAACAAAATTTAATTTCATGAATGCTGCGATTTTTACAAATGAATGGGTCTCAGATACTGCATAAAAACGATCGACTGATAGTCATTGATGCAGACAAGAGGATTTTTAAATAAAAAAAATACCTCTTATTGAAAGTCAACATCTTTAACGTAAAATAATTATTTCATTTATCGATAAACAAATTATTTAAAATATGACAATCTAAGTGAATGGGATAAAAAACAAAAGGAGCCAAAGTAATGTGATTATTTTAAAAAAATGATGATATTTAGTGTTAAATTAAATGATGTTAAACTGTCACCGTGATTCTGGAATTTGGTATTACAATCGTTGCATTATTCTAACCCACGCTTGAAACTATATATACTTATTTATATCCTCGGGACACTACGGATGTCTGCAATAAGAAAGTGAGCATGCGATTTACCGGTCAGACATATGAATAATAATGCGTGTAACGCGTTAGTACAAGCATAGAATCACAAATCGTAAATTCACAGTGACGCTATTTTCTCGTTAGACTTATGCTTAAATAAACAATTACGATAGTTGTTACCAGCTTGTCATTTTTTTTTTTATTTATTGTCTTCTCAGAATACATTTTTAATCTTCTAAATATATTCAAAAGTATTTTTAGAATAATTAAAAGTTTTTCTAATTCTTCAAAAACCTAAATAGAAAATTTTTATCTCTAATTTTCACCGTTCGTTTATCAATTTTTTCTTCTACTTTCAGTAATTAAAAATTGCTTTAATTGAAGAGTTTGAGATTCAAAATTTTTTTCTTTTCAAGATGGAATCGTTTATTTATTTTTATTGTAAATAGTTTCGATGAAAAAAATTTTTTTAATGGACAACTTCGATGAAATGATCTCTCATTTAGGCAGATAATTTTCAAAAAAAAGAGTTTTTTTTTATTCTTCTAGGAAATTTTTCTTAGTGCATGATGATGATGATGATGATGATGATGGTGATGATGATAATAATAATGAAAACGAAGCTGATGACAATAATATTAAATCAATGAAAATAATGTAGACCTTGATATCGAGAAGAATTTAAAGGATAATGGAAACTGGCAGTTGTCTAGTGTATATAAACTACTAACATAGCTTACATACACACCCAACTAAGTATTATTGTTGAGTAAGATTTCTTTAAATACTTTTTATGATCTCAATCGCAATGTTAATCGGTTTAAAATAGTACAATTAAACGTAAACATATTTACTCTAAATCTTTTATTTTTTTTTTTACTATCTATTTACTCACAGATAAAAAAATGCTCAACGAA